TCGGACGTGTCTTGCGGTATGTCATTTTCAGCGGTTAAGTTTTTAAAGAAACTTTGGTAATAAGCCGGTATAGCATTTAATTCACACAAACTATTCAAATCTTTATGTAGAGCTTTTGAGATAGGTAACGGACCATTATACGCGGGTTTAAGCTCAACATCTGCTGGTGTTCCATTCCATTTACGTTTACGTGACGAGGAACGATTACAAATGTCCAGCACGTAGTAATTCTCTTGTTCAAATTCACATTTATAGAGCAATTTTCCAGATAAATTAGGATCTGCTTTTATTTCTTTGAAGTGCGACAACAAAAATTTTCTTCCATCTACGTCATATGCCCATTTTCTATTTACTATTGATATAGATTTAAAATCGTAAATGTTAGATTGATTGATTGAGGTTCATTATAAACTTATTGGGCACCCTAGAATTAGTTGTAACTTCGTACACTTGATCAGGCGTATAAATAATTCTATGTTTCATATTTTTTCAATTGAGGAATCCAAGTATTAAAACTTCATTCTGCATATGGCCTGTTTGCAAAAACCAGTGCACAATTTCTATGTTAAATTTTTGTGAAGTGTACATGTACATAAAAAAAATAAATCTATTACGGTTTTGACCTGAACAATTATCAGAATAGAAAGAAATCTGTTTTATACCCCGTTTGGCTTCTTTTTCTATAAAGTGATATAAGCAACTTGCAATTTCATTTGCACCTCTCTTTGCAATTTGCGCATACCATACGTAACAATGACCTTGCCGTGCTAATAAATCAAAAACCGGGAAATTATACACATGGTATTTTCTTTTATAATGAAAAACTCCTACATTAGATTGAGGAATGTTTTGAACTTTTTCTAAATCAAAAACTGCAACTGTTTTAATACTTGGATTTGATATATACTTTTCCTGATCTTTTATTTTTCTAACAGTTGATTTATTTTTTAAATGATTGTCATAGTTACTCTGTAATTTTATCTTACCTTCGTTATCAGCAATATCATATATACTGCAAATTTGACACATGTCTTTCTTCGGTCGATGAAAAGAAAGATTAAATTTAGTATTGAATATCTGAGTGTATTGATACTGACTGGCTAATTTGATACCTACTTTGATACGTACCTTGAAAATGTTCAGTTTCAGACATCCATCCAATCTTTATAGAGCCTATACATCTTTGAAATGTTAAGATTTTCAGACAAGTATTGTCTAGTAGATTTTCCTCTTAAATAATGTGACTCTATACAAGGAAAGGACTTAATATGCTGTACTACACTCTCTAAAGTATTATCTTGAATTTTACAAGGTCGGTTCGTATGCTTACCTGTTAAATCTAAAATTTGTTCATTATTAGAAAGCTTATTCATGGCAGTATAAACGACTCGTTCTTTAATTCCTAATGTATATATAAACATTGTTTTACAAACCTTAGTTTTTAAAGCACTGTCATTATTCAAAGACAAAAAGTAAATGAAAGTATTAGTACGATCTCGTTTTCTATCCGCTTTTATACCCTTTGGATTTGTTGATTGAGCATTATTTAAAATTAAATACCACTGCTTTTCATGGTCACCTATTTGCCAGAACAAGTCAAAATTTTCCTTCGTCATCATCATCATCATCACAGCCCTTCACAAGTCCACTGCTGAACATAGGCCTCCCCCAAGTAATGCCACAAAGCACGGTCCTGAGCCACCTGCATCCATCGACATCCTGCATATCTTACCAGGTCGTCACTCCATCTAGTGGGGGTCGCCCTACACTACGCCTACCAGTACGAGGCTGCCACTCGAGAACCTTTCTTCCCCATCGGTTATCGGTTCTTCGAGCTATATGGCCGGCCCATTGCCACTTCAGCTTACTAATCCGTGGGGCTATGTCGGTCAATCTGGTTTTACTGCGGATATCCTCATTTCTGAGTCTATCACGCAGAGAAACTCCGAGCATAGCCCTCTCCATAGCTCGCTGAGCGACCTTGAGCGTCCTCATACGGCCAGCAGTGAAGGACCACGTCTCTGATCCGTAAGTCATCACTGGCAACACGCACTGGTTGTACACTTTAGTTTTCAGAGATTGAGGTATACCTGACGAGAAGATATGTCGTAATTTCCCGAACGCTGCCCAGCCGAGTTGAATCCGTCGATTGACCTCTCGGTCGAAGTTGGACTTACCTAGTCGGAATATTTGTCCCAGGTAAACATACTCGTCAACAACTTCGAGCATAGTGCTTCCAACAACTACCGGCATAGGTGTGACATGGACATTAAACATAATCTTTGTTTTGTCCATGTTCATCTTAAGACCTATCCGTTGGGAGGCACTATTGAGGTCATTGAGCATAGTGCTTAAGTCCTCCAGCGATTCTGCCATAAGGACTATATCGTCGGCATATCGAAGGTGAGTGATGTACTCGCCATTGATGTTAATACCGTATCCTTTCCAGTCCAGTAGCTTGAAAACGTCTTCCAAAGCAGCGGTGAAGAGTTTCGGGGATATAACGTCACCCTGTCTTACACCTCTCTGCAGTTGGATAGGTTTCGAGCTCTGGTTCTGTACTCGGATAGCCATCGTAGCCCTACTGTACAAACACTTCAGCACTTCGATATACCGACAGTCAACTTGGCACCGCTGAAGGGACTGCAGCACCGCCCAAATTTCGACGGAATCAAAGGCTTTCTCATAGTCCACATACGCCAGACAAAGTGGCAAATTGTACTCTTCAGTCTTCTGTACAATCTGCCGCAGGGTATGTATGTGGTCTATGGTACTGAAGCCTTTTCGGAAACCGGCTTGTTCGGGAGGCTGGAAGTCGTCGAGTCTGCGTGCGAGACGATTCGTAATGACTCTCGAAAACAGCACGTAGACGCGGCTCAGCAGGGAAATCGGTCTGTAGTTCTTCAAGAGAGCGTTGTCGCCTTTCTTAAAGAACAAGACCACCGCACTTCTGCTCCACGCCTCTGGAGTAGTGCCACCATGGAGGACGGAATTGAAAAGCTTCTGAAGGACTTCAAGTACCGGTGTTCCACCCGCTTTCAGAAGCTCCGCTGTAATTCCATCCTCGCCTGGGGCCCTGCCGTTTTTAAGGTGCTGAAGAGCCATTCTAATCTCGCTTAGACTGACGTCCGGGATATCATCGGAATAGTGTCGGATAAGACTTGCTCTTGGATCGTTACTCACACTTGCGTGTGGCTCCAACGATGATGTGTACAGCTGCCCATAAAACCTCTCAATCTCACTCAAAATCTCAGGTGTCCCGGAAACGATGCTGCCACACTCAGTCTTCAGCCTTGACAGTTGGCTCTTTCTGGCAGACAGATCTCTGGCAAAGACTTTGGAGCCCTGGTTCCGCTCGATCGCTTCTTTAATACGAGCAGTATTAAAGTTGCGTAAGTCTCGCCGCATGCATTTGGAGATCTGTCTGTTCAGTTGCCTGTATGCTGTCAAATCTGTTGACGATTGCAGCCTCATCTCCCGTCTAACAGCCATGAGATTAAGAGTGTGATCGGAGAGTTTTTGTGTTCTTCTGCGGCGGGTCTTGCAGAACTTAGCTCCGACCGCATGGACAGTTTCCACGAGCTTGTCATTCATATCGTCCACTGCATTGCAATCTTGTAGGCACTGAAAGCGGTTGTGTAACTCGAGCTGAAAGTTTTCGGGATTTTGGATCAGAGCACGAGGGGGGACGGAGCGTTGACTTCATTAGACGAGACCTCTCCAACTTAACGTTTAGGTTCAGTGTGCCTCTAACCATTCGGTGATCGCTGCCAGTTTTCACCCTTGCGATCACTGAGACATCACTGAACAGTTGGCGTCTGGTCGTCATAATGAAGTCAATCTCATTTTTTGTCGAACCGTCGGGGCTCGACCAGGTCCACTTCCTGTGGGGCCGCTTCTGGAAGAAAGAGTTCATCATAAAGAGTCCCTCTTTCTCCATAAAGTCGGCCAGCTGCTGGCCCCTTCGGTTCCGTTGCCCTACTCCAAATTTCCCTAACTTCAGCTCACCGTTTTCTCTTGTGCCTAGTTTTGCGTTGAAGTCTCCCATCAACACCGTGTAGTGGGTTTTGGAGGAATGTATGGCTTTGGAAATATCCTCATACATTTCCTCCACCTCCTCATCGGAATGTGCCGACGTTGGTGCGTAAACCTGTATGACCTTCAGCGAATACCGTTTGGTGATTCTGAGTATCAGGTACGCGACCCTCGTCGACACACTCTCAATCTGTACAACGTTGTTGACGAGAGACTTGTGGACGATAAATCCGACACCTCCTTGGGACAGATGGTCGCCCTCCCGGTGATAGAACAAGTTGCCGGATTCGAGAATCACCGTGTCCTCCCCCTCTCTTCGGACCTCGGATAATCCTATAATACTCCAGCGCAACTTGTCTATCTCTTCTTCCAGCTCCAGGATCTTCTCGTCAGTCCTCAGTGTGCGTGCGTTAAATGTTGCCAGGTCGAGTCGTCGTAGGTGGCAACCGAACCTCCACCGGAGATTCTTAGCACCCCTTGCCCCGCCGTTACCATGGTCGCCACCGTAGCCAGGAATAGCGGGGCCGCCGGGGACTGGGGGCCGTCTATTTGTGTAATTGTTCATGGGGGGTATATTGCCATAGTTGCCACGCTTGGCGAGCGGGTTGGCAACCGCAGTTTTTTTTTGTCGTACAGTTGCTGTTATCAGGAAGATGCTGCTGCCCATCTCCTGCCTGTCTCCCTCTGTCGCCTCTTACGACACCCACGGGAAGATATGGGGTAGTGGATATTCTTAACCGCCTCTACACGGCAACTACTTTACTTCTTTCGTACTTCATCAGAAAATTTTTCAAAACATTTCATTTTACATGAACACGGATCTTTCGTAGTTTTTGCTACACACGGTTGTTTAGTTTTTTTACTTACATAAGCCTTACTTTTATTTTTATTTTTCTTACTCTTTACAGATATCCATTCACTCGTATTTGATTTCTTTTTCCTAGGCTTAAAATATCCTTCATTTATTAGCAAAGGTTGAGACTTAGTGGCTTCAGCTGTATCAAAATGGTTTGTATCCGTAACATTACATATAACATCAGTGAATCAGTATTTGTAACAGATGAAGATAATGGAATTTCTGCGTTTTGTGGTAAATTCTTCAAATTGAGAGAATTTTCTTTAATAGAAGATGACGAAATATCTATTGAGGGTGATAATGGTTTAACTCCTTCGATTCTATTATAATAATTATCTTGGGATGTTATATCACTATCATCAGCCAATTCCTTTGAATTGTCAATAATGTTCATATTTGTGTAGATAATTAAAGGGGATGCAATGAAATCTACAACACTATGCATTTTTAAATATATAATATATATATATATATATATATATATATATATATATATATATATATATATATATATATATATATATATAATATATATCAACACTCACGCCTGTCACCCAGCGGGGTAGGCAGAGACTACGGACTTCCATTTGGCACGATCCTGACATACCTCTTTCGCCTCCTTTATATCCATATATCTACGCATACATGCTCGTCGGTTAAGGGTACTTCTAACTTGGCCCATTTTCAAAATATCGCCAATTTGGTCGATAAACTTTTTTCTAGGGCGTCCCTTCCCGACTCGGCCGTTCACATCTGCCATATAAATTTGCTTTGTCACTCTTTCCTCATTCATTCTTTCTACATGACCAAACCACCGAAGCATTCCCTTCTTAATCCTGGTCACAACATCATCTTGCATACCACATTTTTAAAGGGGTATCAAATTTGAAGGTACTTTCTGAATCATTCTGAGGACTATTTATCATATCATGAATCAACGACGAAGGCAAAGGAGAACATAATTCTCTTACTAGACTTGAGGAACGACTTGTGTGATGACTTGGTAAATATACTGATACAACTGGAGAGTAAGGTTCTTCCATATCACTTTAATTATTCTCCGTGTAGACTACCATGGCTGTATCTCGAGATTCACGACTTGTTGATGGTACAGGATTTTCATAATCATTTTTTAAAGTCTTCTTTTTGCTAGGTTTTTCTGCAACAGATATTAATATAATCAATCTAGGTCAATTTAGAAGAAGATTACGAGTAAACATTTCATCATTGCCCATTCAAAAGCAAATAATGCAATGCGACGATAAAGGCAATGTTGTTTGTCCAAATCAGTAACCTATCCCAAATCCTACTCATATAGTAAATGTGATATTTTCTTAAAATACGTCCCACTCCTGGGCACAGGCCTCCCCTCTATTCTGAGGGGGTTTTAGGGCAAGGAAGTGTCCGCCGCGCTGCCTCAATGCGTGTTGGCAAACTCCACATGTCTTTGAAATATTTTTTTTTATTTCTCTGACATGCAGGTTTCCTTACGATGGTATCCTTCACCGCCGAGCACGTGGTAAATTAGCACTTAAAATTGCAATTAACAATTTCATTGGTGCCGGCGGGGATCGAACCCGGTTTGCTCGCGCACTGTGAAATTTACGGTGAGCGCAAACCCTCTGAGCTATCACGGCTCTTAATAGTAACGTCCTGTTAGTTTCTTTCTATTTTACTTACGCTTAAACAGCTAAGCAAATTTGGATGAAAGGAACAAGACTCGAAATGGTGGTAAAAAACGTATTTAAATTATCTAACTAAATAACGGCACATACTTATTTCAATCTGCTAGATAATAATAATTACCTAAGATAAAATACATTATTATTCACAATCGCAGACTACCCAAATCAAAGGTTTATAAAGTCTGTTAGAAAAAGTAAAAAAACAATCACATAAAATAAGAAACAAAACACCTACCTTTAGTTATCTACTCGTAAAAGTAATTACAACTACTGTTTGTACTTACCAAGCATGTCCATAATCTTTTTAGATCTGTTATTGTACATTGTTGTATAATATAATTATTGTGTATTTAACACAAGTAACTTTAATCAATCTAATTTTCAAAGCACCATAACAACACTCACGCGCTGCCCTTGGCATATTGAACTATTTTAGGATATTCGCGGTTAACGATACGACACCCGCCCCGCTCCCCGCACTCACGCACGTATTAACGCTTAGCTCCGAATCCTTTTAAACAATTCTTAAGTATGCCTACTTACGTGAATACGACATTTATATTTTTAGGGGAACAAAGTCGTAATCGACATTACACTTAAAAATTAAGACATTGCTTAATCAATCAAACAGCTTTTATTTGTAAATAAGTTTGTAAGTTATTTAGTGTTAATCGCGATAATTTGTGTGGAACAATAATTTTGAACAAGGAAAATTTATGTTAAAATGTTTACACGAATAACAAACATTTAAAATTTGCGACAAAAAAGACTTTCTAGTGTTTAATGAAATTAATAATTATATTTCTTCAGGTTTAAAAAGTTGTTCAGCTATTTACGTGTACGTTATTTATTTATTTTCTGCGTAATCCATAAAACGACTTTTTTAGTCGTATTATTTTTTCCAAAGGCAAAAATGCACAGATTACAAATTTTATTAATAATTCCTTAATACTAATAAGAAAAATTTGAAAAAAATTGAGCGTATGTAATTTGCGTTGCTCTTTTTGATGGTGTAAAAACAAACAAATCGACATAAGACCACATATGCTTTTGTTCTTCTCAAGGTACGATATGTATAAAGGAATACCAACCAAATCAATAAAACCGATCCAAGAAAATACACAAATCCGAAAATGAAAGCCAATATAAATCCATTCAACCTTAACCAAATCACAAAGCAAATAACAAACAACCGAAATCGAAAGCAAGTAGTCGAATAAGCTACGAAACAGAAACAATTTAAGCGTATAGGTACCGTATGCACTATAAGTAGACGCGCGGCTCAACGGCGGGAGTTAAGTACATGTCAGGAAACATTTCGTTACCGCGTTTTAAAAACCTAGTAACGAGATCTAGCGGAATCAATTTAAACTATGTATACGTTAGTTAATAAGAACTCTCAAAAATATTTTTCTTATAATTTTGCACAGTTTTTCTTTTTGTAATACCGATTCATTCATAACCACATATAAGAACTGTATTCATTTCCGTTCAATAAATATTACTAAGGCTTACTAATAACGCTTATTAATAAGGCTTACAAAGAACTGTTTCTACTACAGTTATGTAAGTAGTAAAGGGTGAAAGCGTGACAGGTGGTGATAGTATTTCTGATCCATACTTATAATCACGCCTGTAATCCTTGTGAGGTAGGCAGAGCATCAACGGATTACTTAATATCGTCTGCGAGGTTATCGCCTATTCTGTGAATTACAATGCACCAAAACGTTTGAAGAAAATCAGCTGGTGAATTTTATGTTTTTATCGCTTTCTTCCCGGTCCTGCGTGAAAAATTCAGATCCATACATTTTTTATCTTAATTTTGGTAAAAAGACATAATAATCCAGATATTCTGACCTTCTGTGTTCGTCCATCGTACCGTCGTCCGTCTTGTAGAATCACGGTGGCGCCACCTAGCCGAATTTAATTTTGCAACATATTTGATTTTCCCACGGGAATGATATGTTTTTTCGCGGAAAAAAGCCTATGTCACTCTACAGCCACCGAACTATCCCCACACTAAAAATCATGCCATGTCGACGCTCTGTTGCGGCGTGAAAGAAGGACAAACTTTTGCAACATATTCTATTTTCCCACGGAAATGAGATGTTTTTCCGTGGAAAATAGTAACCTATGTCACTCTACAGCCACCGAACTATCCCCATACAAAAAATCATGCCATGCCGACGCTCTGTTGCGACGTGAAAGAAGGACAAACAAACAAACACACTTTCGCATTTATAATATTAGTATGGATGCTAGTTACAAGAATTAGCCGAGGATCGTTAAACTTTAATCTGTTTTCATAAACTTTATAATTGCGTACTACTTTTCGACGTTTGATCTAAGCGCATTAAACGGCAATCATTTTTAGATTATCCTCAATTGCACGGAAAAGCTGTTTCGCATAATATATATTATGTCGGATTTTTATCCCACTTCTGATGGCGGAAATAAATTAAAAATAATAATAATATTGTGAGAGCTGATGTTCAAATTGCTCCATTGCTTGCGCAATTAGTCATTATCGTTTATGAATGATGAAATAAAAAAATGCTGAAAGTTTTTAATTTGTAAAAGAATCATATTTTAACTTAATTATAATTAAATAAATAGTGCCTATATTCATATCTTAAATAATATTTACTCTTTAATTTTCTTCTTTCACAAATAAACTGTATGTGTTTACGACCTACCGTCACTTTATTTTATATTTTTGTTCACGCGATTTGTAATATGCATTGTCATTGTGTCTTCTTAGCTTCTGAGTATTGATCACATCTAACATAAAAATTTGTGTTGTAATTAATATAAACCTGTGCTAAAGAAAGTAATGTGTACTTAAATTGCTCATTGTTAACATTCAAGTTGAAGGAAATAAACCGAAAGTTCATATGTATGCAGTTTTATCATTTCACAATTTCAATTGGTGTTAACAAAAAAAAACGTAGATGAAAGCCATCAGCGATACAAAAAAGAGGGAGTTTTATTCATGGTCCTTACGATTGCCGGATATAATATATAACGATACTGGAGAATACTGGCTTTGGAGTTATGACAATATCGAAGTAATTATTGGTGGATTACGACTAATACATGACATCGAGTTGGGTGTTCTATCATCGTGTTACGTGTCTTCACATCTGCACCTGGAGGTTATTTTGTGTATAAGTGCTGTGAGTGAGTAAATAAGTGGACAAACCGTGAGTACATTCGAGATATCGTAATAATTGGACTTTAATATATTGGGACTTTAAGTGTAAATCGTATATAAAACTTGCTAATTGCTATTACAAAATAAATTGATTTGTACTTTAAAGATTGATGTAATGTGAACTTGTTATATAGTTCAAGGTTACGTGTTTAGCTGAATCTTAAAACAATTATAGTTAAATAATTAAGTACTTAAGTATTATAATCTGTGAATAAGTACGTGTCACTTTATGAACATTGAATTTATAAAATCTATTTCGGATTTTCTATAGTAAATATATTTGATTTATTAGATTACATATTTCAAATAGGTATTTCACGTTGAGATTTTTATAAAGTTTTTTTTATATTAATTTCGTTTATTGTAAAAGATGGAAGCTTATATTAAAGTGCAAAACAATATATATGATCGAATTACAAAAGCTAGATCTAATTTTAAGAAATCGCCTAAAGAACGTTTAGCGAATGATGC